AACTTGGTATACTTTAAAAATGCCTTTGAAATTAGGGATGTATTCTTATTAGATGTACTTAAATTTGTGTATTTGTTTATGAATTAACTTGCAAACCATTCGATTTGCATTAATGGTGTGGTCCAAAAATTTGTTCTAAATTGAATACTAAACAATTTTGTTTAACATCAAAAGTCTCTACAACAAATCAGTATACTTCAAAAATGCATTTAAAATGATAAAACGACAACTAGTGTTCGGAGCGCCATTTTGAATGACTCGTTGGACATTCTATTTGTGTAATTATTTATAAATTCTCTTGTAACTTGCAAACCATTCGATTTGCATTAATGGTGTATTTGGAAAATTTATACTAAATTAAATACTCAACAACGTTGTCTCATATCAAAAGTCTCTAGAACAACTCGGTATACTTCAAAAATGCATTTGAAATGACTAAATGACAATTAGAGTTCTGAGCGCCATTTTGGATGACTCATTGTACATTCTATTCGTGTATTTATTTCTTAAATTTTTTGTAACTTTTAAACTATTCGATTTGCATGAATGGTGTATTCGGGAAATTTGTACTAAATTATATAATCAACAACATTTTCTTACATCAAAAGTCTCTAGAACAACTCGGTATACTTAAAAAATGCATTTGAAATCATGAAATGACAACTAGTTTTCGGAGCGCCATTTTGGATGACTCATTGGACATTCTATTTGTGCATTTATTGATTAAATCTCTTGTAACTTACAAACCATACGATTTGCATGAATGATGTATTTGAGAAATTTGTACTAAATAGAATACTCAATCAGATCAACTTACATCAAAAGTCTCTAAAACAACTCGGTATACTTTAAAAATGCATTTGAAACCATAAAATTAATCGAAACGTGTTGCGTGTGCATTCTTGTGTTAAATCGTTATAAATCTTAAACCATTCGATTGATATGATTGAGGTAAAAGACAAGTTTGTTCAAAATTTTATAATCTACAACTTTTTAGAACAACAAAACACTCTAAAGCAACTCGGTGTACTCATAAAATTCATTTGAAAACGAAAAATGTTATCGACAACGTTGATTTCCTTTTATTTTCTTTCTCTGAGAGTAAAAAAGTCGGTGAAAAATCAAAAGTGTGTTTGTATTGAAAAATGTTTTGTTATAAAAGTTTCAAGTAAATTCTTCTGATTTTAAAATAATTAATTAAGTATAATAATATTTTAAAAATTTGTTAATAATTCCTGAAGAAGAAAACATCCCTCTTCCACGAAACGTTGAAAAAATTAATTGAAAAAATTAAATAAATATTTTTTTCAGACCAAAATAAAGCTTTTAGTTCAGAAATTTAAAAACCATAATTAATAATAGCTATCCAGAAAACTTATACAAATATATATATATATATATATATATATATATATATATATATATATATATAATAGTTCTTATATAAAAAATTTCAACTAGATCATTTGCAAGTAGAGGTAGTTAAGTTACATTTTAAATACTTATTAAATATCTTTATAATTTTATAATTATATATGTATATATATAATTATATTTATGTATATATATGTTAGGGTGTGGATCAAATCCCACTTCTGGTTTTATGTTTAAGAAACTTGCCGAAGAAACCATGGCTCGAAGGTAAAGATATATTTGCAACATTTTTTTCCCATATATTTATAAATTGTATGTCACAATAATGTACGTACGACCGCGATAAACTCCGAAACTGCTGAACAGATTTTGATGAAATTTTGTGTACGTTCATAATATGATTCAACTTGAGTTATAGAGTGGTTTTTATCTTAATTATTCAGCTCAAAATATTGTAAATTAAATGTTTATTATACGACGTAAATGTGTAGTTATTGGTCAGTTATATAAACGTTTAATAGATAGCAGTTAAGCATATACATTATTTCTTTAGGGTTAAATTTGATGTTAAAACAAAAGAAATTAATTTCCTTAATTTCCTATTTTTTTAAAAAAAGATTAATTTGATTGTACCGAATCAAAGGTTGGGTCGGCTAGTATATATATACAGAATAAATGCAATGACACTAGTACGCTCCAAAATTTTTACAGTTAAATAACTTTTCATAAGCCTATAATATTTTAATCACTTCCTAATAAACAGATTTAAAAAAAATATTTTTATCAAAATTCTTATATGTGAAAATACATATATATATATGTATTAATATTTTGATAAAACTATATTTTTTAAAATCTTCTTGCTGCAAAATATTATAGGCTTATGAAAAGTTATTTAATTATAAAAATTATGGAGCTAGGGTTATTGCATTTGTTTTATATATACTAGCCGACCCGGTACAATTAAATTAATATTTTCTAAAAAATAATAAATTAATTTCTAATGTTCTGATATCAAATTTAAAATTTAAAAAAATTAATATTTAATTAATTAATTATAAAAATTATTTGAAGTCTTAAAAACATGCTGATATACCTGAATCTAGTCAAGACGTACTTTCACACTAATTTTTACACAAAAATTCCGAACTACTTCTCTTAGGCCTATAATATTTTACAGCTTTATTTCGACTATTAACTCTATAACCATACAAAATTTCATCGCAATCTAAGATGAGTCAATATAATATTTTAGTGAATTTATATCGGAAAATTTTCATTAAAACTTTTGCTGTTTTGTGTAATTTACTTCTATCTATAGTTTCTTCAGCAAAGTTTCTTAAAACACTCCAAAACTACAAAACCAACCCTAATACATATTTTTCTGTCGGAGCCTGGATTAAGATCACAGTAATGTTTCATAAAAATTTTACCAAAAAAAAAACAAACAAATTCAAAATTGTTTTTCACCATCTAACATTTACCATTACATCAGGGTCTCCAAAAAAATTTTACTGGACACTAGTCTAAATTTTAGTTAATTAATTAATTAATATTTATATATATACACACATTTTGTGGTAAATATTATTTACCAATATTTTATTTCACTAACTGATGTTTTGTTTTGCTTTTTTTTAAACAGACATTCAAAAAAACTGCTGAATCAGCAGCAGCATTTTTTTTAACAGAATGCTGCGTAGAAAGTAGTCAGGTACAAATAAGTTTTATTATATTATCTTTATAAAGATTTTTTTTAAATTTAAACAAAATTCTTGATATTAGCGAAATTTTCTTTTGTACTGATAAAGGATTTGTGGATCCTTGACTGTTGCAATTTGTAATATTTGTTATATTTTTTAAAAATGATATTTAAATGTAAAAATAAGTTTGTCGATGTGAAACTGTTTTGACAAAAACGACAGAAATTGATGTTTTTAGCAAGTTAATTAAGAACTCTACTGTCAAAGAAATTAAGAAAATTCGATAAAAATATAATAATAAACCATTTTTTTAAATTAAAAGAACTCTACTGACAAGCAAATTGAGAGAAATTGATACAAAGACTTTACTGACGAGCAAATTAAGAAATAAATGAGGAAAAGGACTCTACTGACGCGCAAATTAAATATCAATCCTGAAAACAGAAAAGTGACTCTACTGACGAGCAAACTCGATTTTTATCTAGAATATTTCAAAAAAGGACTCTACTGATGAGCAAACTCGATTTTTATCTAAAATATTTCAAAAATATTTCAAAAAAGGACTCTATTGACGAGCAAACTCGATTTTTATCTAAAATATTTCAAAAATATTGCGAAAATATTTCAAAAAGAGACTCTACTGATGAGCAAACTCGATTTTTATCTAAAGTATTTCAAAAATATTTCGAAAATATTTCAAAAAGGGACTCTACTGACGAGCAAACTTTAATTTTAATCTAAATTTGGAAATATATTACGATGTTAATTTTAATCCGACAACTTTTTATGAAAATCGTTTTCTGCTCGTCGAGACCTTTCAAACGTTACCCCACATGCCATTAAACATATCCTTAAATTTTTTGAAGTAAAACTTCTTTAGACTCGTTTACTAGAAATTCGTTAAACGCGAGAAAAGAGAGCGAAAACGACCAGAAAAGATCACGTTTGACTCTTTTTGGTGTCAAATGATTCAAAACGACTTGAAACGGGCAAAACGAACTCTATATTCCCTTTAAATTTTAAAAATTGGTCCAGCCGTTTTTCGAGAAAACGACCATGAAAAATCAGATTTTGCTCATTTTGGTGTCAAATGATTCAGAACAACTGAAAACTTCAAAAAGACAATAGACAAAAATGATTCTGCATATGTCCTATTATTAAGTTTCATCGAACGCTCTTTATAATTTTAAAATCGGCCCAGCCGTTTTCGCAAAAACGACCATAAAAGATCAAATTTGAGAACTTTTTGGTTTCAAATGCGTCAGAACAACTTGAAGAGTTGAAAAAAAAGAGCAAAACGGATTCTGTGATTCCTATTATTAAGTTTCATCAAACGCTCTTTAAATTTTCAAAATCGGTCCAGCCGTTTTCTAGAAGACGACCATCAAATAACAAGTGTGACTCCTTTTGGTAGCAAATGATTCAGAACGACTTGAAAAGGAAATGGACAAATCGGATAGTGTATGTCTTTTTACTCATTTAAATTTTTAAAATCGGTCTAGACGTTTTCGAGAAAACGACCATGAAAAATCAAGTTTGGCTCTTTTTAGTAACAAATAATTCAGAACGACTGAAAAAATGGGCAAAATGGGATTATGTGTATGTCCTAAGAACGCATATTGAATGTCATCAAACGCTCTTTAAATTTTTAAAATCGGTCCAGCCGTTTTCGAGAAAACGACCATAAAAGATCAAGTTTGCATACTTTTGGTGTCAAATGATTCAGAATGACTTGAAAAAGAAATTGGCAATTCGGATTCTGTATATGTCCTTTTACTCTTATTGAGTTTCATCAAACGCCTGTTAAATTTTTAAAATCGGTTCAGACGTTTTCAAGAAAACGACCATAAAAAATTAGATGTGAGTCTTTTGGTATCAAATCTGAATTTCTGTTGTTTTCTATCTTTTCTCCAGTTTCACCCGACAAACTTTCACCCAAAGAAATTCACAACTAAAGAATTTTGTCCTACATCCCTTTATGGATAAATTCATCATTTATCATCTTTTACTCACTTTTTCCCTCAATGTCCTCCCAACCTCTGAGCCAATTGTTGGGCTTCCTGCTGAGCTTTGTGTTCTCGAGCAATGTGCCTTCGAACAGTATTATTCCTGGTGAAGGTCCTGGTGCAGAAGGGACAATGTACACGGATGCCCTGATGCCTTTGACGGACGTGGGCCCTTAGATTTGTTTCATAACCGTAGAGACGTTCACAGTAGGGACATTTCAGTTTTTTACCTAGAGGAGAAAAATGGTTGAGCACGTGGTAACTAGAGTTGTCCGAGATTGATTTTAATGGTATATCTATCCGAATAATTTAAAACATTCAAAAATTAGGCCACTTCGTAAAAGAGGGCCCACCGACATCATCAATAATTATAGGCATACTATAATTAACCCGACGAACTCCGTTTCGCCACCAGATGGTTTCGTGAGAAAGATGAAGAAATTTTTTGTTTGTTTTATATTTGAAAAGGAAAAATTTGATCAGGAAGGAAAACCCGACTTATTTTTATATATATAGAAGAAGAAGATAATCTATTTGAAATTATTTAAAACAATTGTTGATTATTTTTATTACTCGAATTTTTAATTACGGTGCATAAAGTTCCAGCAATTTGCATTAGGGCACGATGCCATGCACGACTAATTTTCTTAGCTATAAACCTTGCGCAGCCCGAGACCTTTCCAACGAATGCAAAATTGTCGAAATCGGTTCGTGCGTTCTGGAGTTATTTCGTCAGGAAGAAAAACCCGACTTATTATTATATATATAGAAGATAATTAATAATAATTTCTTTATTAAACACTTTTGACAAAATTTTTGAAAAAATATTACATAGTCGACTATGCAATTTTTTAACAGTTAATAATATATTATTTAATTAGTTGGTATTGACATTTTACCTTGAAGCAAGTTACATGAACTTCCCGATATGTGCAAATAATCGACTTAATCAATAAAAAAAACTAGTGGGGCGCATAGCATCGTGCCTTAAGGCAAATTGCTTGAACTTCCCGTACCGTAACGAAATATTCGAGAAATTTTAAACGTTTTCAAATATATTATTACAAATACTGTAACTTTCATTATTTTTGCTTTCAATCTTGTTACATCTGAGCCAATCTCATCTAATCTAATGTAAATCATAAATCAATTTATCTCCAGAACATTAACAACAATCATCATTTTATTTCGAATTCAATTTCAAAAAAAAAATAGTTGCCTAATTTGCACAAAATTGAAAAAGTGCTCCCGTATGGTCACAGTCTAAACGCATTTGCAAATAATTCTGTGCGACATTTTTACTTATACTGCGCTTAGCTTGGCGGCATTTTCACATTTTTCACAATTATTTTCATATTATATTCTTTTTTGATACTGCTCTTAATTATTATTTTCCAGATATGGGACTCAAATAAAAATTACATAACGGATATTTAAAGAATTTTTTTTTACCATAACTTAAATTAAATAAACTATTTCAATAATATAACTTTTTTTCTGCAAGTTATTGTATTAGATAATACTAATGTTAAGCTTAAAATTGTTTTATAGTTGTATTTTACTGTAATTAATTCAATTAAGATAATTTATTGAAGTAAAACTTCTTTAGGCGCGACTAGGGTGTAATTCCGTATAAATGCAAGGGAAGTGCGTTACGGCAGATAAGATAAGAGTCGAGTGCCAATGATTCGTCATTCGCTCTCGATGATATCATTTCTATACCGGTCGATTGTGATTAGTCGTCGTGTATGTGAATAGAGATCTGTCGTTGTATGCGTACCGGCATCAACGTTGTATGCCTACCGATATCTACAAGAAAATCGGCATAGATAAATAAACATTTTAAAATTACATTGTAGTACAAATCTTGATTGAATGAAAAATGCCTGAATAAGAATATTTTACACTGTCCCCCGTAATTAATTATAATAAAAATAATAAAACAAATGCAGCGTTTGCGCCATTTCTATATTATTCATAGTTTCTATAAATCTTTGAAGTTATTGAAATGGAAAATATTCTTTAGGCAAAACAGATATTACAGCTGTTCAAAGAATGAGATTATATCGCCAGCAAAAAAGTAAAAAAAATATCATCAGTCAATGTATGTTAATTTTAATTACATGAAGTTCTTCAAACACAATTCAATCACGAAGTTGCGAAAACAATGTTTGTGTAGGCGTTATTTAACATAATCCACTGTCTTATTACCAACGAATATTATAGAACTTATTAATCAGCAATTACTTTAAACCGATCATGTCATATTTCAAGTATGACCTTGATTACATCATTGTTTTCAAATATCATAAATATTTTTAATGCTATCATAAATATATAATTTATAATTTATCATTATATAAATGTGTATAATGGTTATTGACACTAATAAATGTGTGCATCAGGAGTGTTACCGTATTACTAATAAACATTATTCAAAATTGTTATATGATGGATTCATTTTTACTTCGATGCCATCTTGTACAGTAGCAAATAAGTTTAACGTCAATCGCGTGTGAACCTTACGCGCACTCTTTTTTTCTGTAATTACTAAATTTAATCCTATATCAGTAATATAAATACATAATATAAATAAATAAATAATATTATTATAGTCTATTATAAAATGTTACCATCAGCTGTAGCAACAGAACCCGCCTTGTGTCCTGTCAATTTGCTTGCATTCCATACACCGGTCGCCAAAAGATCTGTAGTTGTCGAATTGCTGAGAAGTTTCGTAGATAAATTAGCCGGAGAGTGGTTGGTCGATGATGCTACCCGAGACGATTTCGACAAAGAATCAGATATAGAATTTGTCGGTGGGCTGTAGTCGTTTGTTATTTCCATTTTCACGCGCAAATCTAAAAAACACATAATATCATTAACACCAATCGCACACATAGTGCAGTAAACGGAGCGTTTTTAGTGTTAGAACGGTGAGTAAGTATCGATACTTTGACTTCGATAATGAGTACTTTTGGAATCGATACTTCAGGCCGATTCTTTTGGCGGTATCGATACTCTGCGCCGATTCTACTAAAAAAGTATCGGCTATATTTTTTGACCCCACCAAAAGTTCGACCGAAAGTTTCTTAATCATTTCTAAAGGTACAATTAACAATTGATCATATCTCCAATTTTTACAATAAGCTGTTTACTTTCGGTAAGGTCATTATAAAGGATGGTCATTATACCTAATCTATTGTAAAAAGAACATAATATGCAAATGCGTCCAGTGCATCTGTGCACATACAACTATTATATGTAATAAGATGATAGTAAAATAATTCCAAAGATTTCTTAACACAATTATTTCTTATGCCTGTTGTTAGTTTCGAATATCATTCATAATCAGTATTATAACTAACGCGATTGAATAAAAGCCTAGTTTACACATAGGTTGAATGCTTCGAAAGATACCATACCCCACAATATTATAAAATTTAATTTTCATATTGCGTAAATAATGATAATACAAGTAACTAGTTGGTATTGGTATTTAGCTTTGAGGCAAATTACATAAAATTCCCGACATGTGTAAATAATCGACTTAATCAATAAGAAATAGAATAATTTATGAGTGATTAAAAGTATTTCGAGTGGATATATTACACAAAATTGAAAATGAACGAACGAATACGTTAACTCGGAGTGGGTATTCTCTTAAAGCAAATTTTCACAAATTAATAATTTTTATAATTGAACCAGTTTCCGTAGGACTTTAATGGTTTAGTATGTTCATTAAGACGAAGTACTAATATCGTTATACCAAGTAAAACCTCTAATTGTAATTTTAACAAATGTCAAAAAATTACAATTTCTGAAACTTTGATAAAATTTTAAAATTATACTACTTGTCGTAAGGCCGTAATATTTCAGTAAGTTCTATAGGATCTTGATATATTTCGCCAAAAAAGTACCATAAAAATCAGATTAAATTTTTGTTCAAAAGTTAATTACAAGAAAACGGCTCGGTAGATTTTCACCTAAAACTAATCAGTATCATTCCCAACTAATATCTTTCGAACGGTTTTTGATTTTTTGAAATCGATTCGGTAGTTTGAGCTTAAATGTGGACGAAAAGTTTAACACTTTTTTTCAAATTACAAAGAAACGGTTTGGCAGATCGTCTCACATAACTGACAAACGATAATCCTCACCAAAATACATCAAATGGCTTTTAAATTTCTAAAATCGGTTCAGGCGTTTTTGAGAAAACGTCGATCAAAAGTCTAATTTTGATAAATGCCAAAAGAACGATACTAATTTTTGCAAACTTTGATGAATTTTAAAAGCTAAATGAGTTGTCGTAGGACCGTGATATTTTAGTATGATCTAGAGGACTATGGTATCTACCGTAAAATAATAATAATAAAAATCGTCGAATTTTTTTTTTAACTTTATTGCAAGAAAACGGCCCGGCCGATCTCTACCAAAAACTAACTAGATCGATTCCCAACCAATATCTTTCGAACGATTTTTAAATTTTCAAAATCGATTCAGAACTGCGGCCTAAAACGTGAACGAAAAACTTTTCACTTCTCTGCTATTTACAAAGAAACGGCCTGGCCGATCGTCACACAAAACTGAGAAACGCCAGTCCGCATCGAAATACATCGAATGGCTTTTAAATTTTTGAAATCGGTCTAACCGTTTTTGAGAAAACGTCGATTTACGGCAAAAAATCTGTTCACACTTACGCACACACACACACACACACATACTTTTTCCAAATTTGGTCTCATTCGATTCAGAATGACTTGAAACGTCGAGAAAACATAAAATTAGCGAATCGGATTTTTTGATGAAAACATAAACTTCTCCTTCGGGAAGTTAAAAAATCATACTGATCTGTTCAACACAACTGGGGATATTAAGATTAATGCAGAGGAAGACCATCAAAATTGAGCAAATTATCCAAATTTCAATCGTAAATACTTTCTTTAAAAAAGTTTTTAAAGCAAAATCCTGAAATACGTGTTAAATGATTTTATGAATAGTATCTGTAAACAAATTTTTAGACAATTCTAAAATGTCATATATTTTTTTGCCCAAAATCCGTACGATTTGTAAAAGATTTATATTGTATGTATTGTTATACCCTTTTTTCCTCTCCGTTTACTGCACTAACAAGTCTGTTACCTTTACCCTAATTACTAAGAATTCTTAATTCTTACCTTCAGCATATCCTTGATCGTCCTCATCAGCCATCATCCTGTCGTCGCCTTCGTCCTCGATGTTGTGATCGCCAACGCCGCCGCCTCCTGCAGGCGAAACGCCCTCGCCGCGGCCCTGCTGCTCCCTTTTGACCCTGTCGTCGACCAGTCCGTCCCTGATGAACCTGTGCGAGGGCTCTCCTGAGGGCCCGTGGTTGGCGTCGTCTATTGAGTGGTGACCGGTGATGATGTCGTCGTTGTGGGTGTTGGGGGATGTTAAGTGATCAGACCTGGGAGGAGAAAATTATGTATAGAAACTAGGCGAAAGTGGTATTTAGCCTTGAGGCAAGTTGTATGAACTTCTCGCAATGTGTAGTAATTGACTGGATCAACCAAAATTGAGATTTAGATACTTATTGTTAGATAAAATTAGTAAACTTTCTATTTCAAAAATAAAGTTATCGCTATCAATTAAATCTAAAGATTGCGATTTCCAATATAGTTTTCTCAAACACATTTAACTTATCTGTAATTAACTTTCCGTAAGGCAAATTATAGTAATCGCAAAAAATCGAAAATGAAAATATTTATATGTCTTTACGTTTTAGAGGTTTCTGAATATTATGGCATACTTTAGAAAAAATTGATGTATGTGTGTGTGTGTGTATGTGTGTGTGTGTATGTGTGTGTGTGTATGTGTGTGTGTGTGTGTGTGTGTGTGAGGATACAAATTTTCGTCGACGATTTCGGGAATCCGATCAACCGATTTAAATAATTCAAAAAACATTCGATTCGTATTAATAAGGAGACGTGCTGATTAGTTTTTGGCGGAGGCAGGTCTAGCCGTTCCGAAGATATGGGGCAAAAAGTGCCAAAAACAGTAACTCAGTTTTTAAGAGAACGGAGCGTCCGATTTGAATAATTCAAAAAACATTTTACTTGTATTGACAAGATGAAAAACTGAATAAATTTTTGGGAAGGCAGGTCTAGCGGTTTTGGAGTTTTAGTAAAAAAAGTAAAAAAAGCCATTTGGCGGTCAAAACTAATCATTAGACATGGACACATCAAATTATCAGGTATTTAATGGAGATTTTAATAATGTGTATCGATTTTGTTTACATTTCTATGGGTTCCGTAACATCGTATTTCGTTCGATATTTTGTCTCTATGCAGTACGATTCCTTTGAAAAAAAGTTCCAAATATTCAAAATATTTCAAAATAATGAAAACATGTTTTTTCAAAGTCTTTCTTATTCACAAAAGTCAATTTTCTTCAAAAATTGAAAATTTCTCAAAAAGCTAATTTTTACGAAGTTTAAAATAAATCTTAATTTTTTTAAGAAAATTAACTTTTTGGTACGAGAAATTCCAGCAACTTGGTTCCAATTTGGATTTTTAAAATCGATTCAGAGTTTTTGGCAAAAACGTGAACGAAAAATTTTACACTATTCGTGAACGAAAAATTTACACTTCTGCTAATTACAAAAAAACGACTCAGCCGATCATATCAAAAACTTGATTGACGCGAGTACATATTAAGTTCCATCAAATTTTTTTAAAAATTTAAAAATCGACTCAACCATTTTAGACAAAACGTCGATTAAAGGTCCAACTTTTTGTCTTAGGGCCGTAATACTTTAGTTTGTTTTATACACCAAGATATATATCGCCAAAAAAAGTTCCATAAAAATTGGCTTACATTTTTTTTCAACAGTTAATTACAAGAAAACGGCTCGGTAGATTTTCACCTGGAACTAAACAGTATCATTCCCAACTAATATCTTTCGAACAGTTTTTGATTTTTTAAAATCGATTCGGTAGTTTGAGCTTAAATGTGGACGAAAAGTTTAACACTTTTTTCCAAATTACAAAGAAACGGCTCGGCCGATAGTCTCACAAAACTGACATACACATACTTTTTCCAAATTTGGTCTCATTCAATTCAGAATGGCTTGAAACGTCGAGAAAACATAAAATTAGCAAATCAAATTTTTTTATGAAGACATAAACTTCTCCCCCGAGAAGTTAATATCACAAGCTGAATTTACATGGGTTGAGTTTACATAAATTTTCTTACCTTGGTGATTTGTTTTCCCTGAGAACCGAGCAACGCATCTCCTGTTGTGTAGGTGACCTGAGTTGAAGTTTTCTTGGACTATCGTATGGACTTCCTGTAAACAAAAAAGGACACATCAATAACCTCCCTTTATTCGATCATTTATCGCATCATCAATCTATTTCTCACCTAATCTCTGATCGTATCTAGTATTAAATCCTGCAGCCAAATGCATATATTGTGCATAATGAAAGTCTTCAGGGCTTGTTGATCCACCGCCGCCACTGCCGCCGTTGTTGTTCATGGCATTTTGGATGTTGTTATTGTTGATGGTGTTCAAACGATGTTTTAATCGGTGTTGTTGAGGCATTGATGTTGCTGAAGATGAGTTGTTGATTGAGGCCGAGGAGGAGTTGTTGTGGGAGGATTGCTGTTGCTGTTGGGATTGGGCTACTGCTATTTTTTCGTGTTCTATGCTTAGACCTTTGACCTGGGAAAAATATATTTTAGTTGAGAAATGATGAAAATGTTCGTACTTTTTTGTGGTTTTAAGCACTAGTCATAAACCGACTAGAAATTTCCTGATTCAACTCAAAAGCTAAGACAAAAAACATAGATGTATTAATTTAGTAATGTGATTTTTTTTTGAAAGGACTCTACTGACGAGCAAACTAATTTTCATCGATTTGTTAACTAAATCTAGTAAAATACTATTACTTTTTAATAGACAAAAGGACTCTACTGACGAGCAAACTGATCATCAATTTCCAAAAAAATTCTGAGAGTCCCTAGAAATTTCTGAGAGTTTCAAGAAATTACTGAAGGTCCTAAAAGTCTAAAGATATTCCTGAGAGTATCAAAAAAATTCTTGAGAGTCTCAAGACATTTCTGAGAGCCTCAAGAAATTCCTGAAAGTCCAAAAAAAAGAAGTTTCTGAGAGTCACAAGAAATTTCTGAGAGTCTCAAGAAATTTCTGAGAGCCTCAAGAAATTACTGAGAGTCTCAATAAATTTCTGAGAGTCTAAAAAAAGATTCTTAGAGTCCAAAAAAGGATTCTAAGAGTCTTAAGAAATTTCTGAAAGTCTCGAAAAATTCCTGAGAGTCTCAAGAAATTTTTGAGAGTCTCAAGATTTTCCTAATAACCCTAAGAAATTCCTGAGACATCCAAGATGTCCCCGAGAGTCCCAAACAGTTTCTGAAAGTTTAAAAAAATCCTGAGAGGCCCAAATAATTCCTGAAAAATCTAAAAATTTCCCGAATGTCCCAAAAAAAATTCCGAGACCCAAAAAAATTCTTGAGGCTCCCAAAAAATTCCTGAGCGTCCCAAAAATTTCCTGACGATTTCAAGAACTTTCTAAGAGTCCCAAAAAAATCCTGAGAGTCCCAAAAAATTCCTGAGAGGCCCACAAAATTCCTGAGAGGCCCAAAGAAATTTCTGAGAATCCAAATAAATTCCTGAGAAACTCAAAAAATTTCCAAGAGTCCCAGAAAATTCTTGAGAGACCGAGGAACTGCCTGAAAGTCCCAAGAAATTCTGAGAGTCCCAAAGAAAATCATGCGAGTCCCAAGAAATTCCTGAAAGTCGCAAGAAATTTGAGAGAGTTACAAGAAATTCCAGAGAGTCCCAAGAAATTCTTGAGGGCCCTAAAAATTCCTGAGAACCTCAAAAAATTTCTGAGGATCTCTAGAACTTCCTGAAAGCCCCAAAAAAATTCTCTGAGTTCCAGAAAATTCTTGAGAAACCGAAAAACTGTCTAAAAGTCCGAAAAAAATTCTGAGAGTACCAAAAGGAAAATTCATAAGAGACCCAAGAAATTTCTGAGAGTCTCTAGAATGTTCTGAGGGCTAACAAGAACTTCAAGAAATTCTTGAGAGCTCCAATAAATTCCTGGAGTATCCAAACAATTTCCCAGAAGTTCAAGAAATTTCTGACTGTCCCAAAAAATTCCTGACAGTTCCAAAAAAATCCTGAGAATCTCCAAAACTCCCGATAGCACCAAAAAATTCCTGAGAGATGTAAGTAATTTCTGAGAGAGCGAACAGTTATTGAGAGTTTCAAAAATTTCCTGAGAGTTTCAAGAAATTTTTGAAAGTCCAACGAATTCCTGAAAATCACGATTTTCTTCTGGAAAATAGCAGAAATTTCTGAAAGTCCTAAACATTTTTTGCAAATGTGGGAGTAGTAATGAATATTAAAGTATAAACTCCACTTGAATAAAAAAATATATATGAAAATATATGCTATGAAAATATTACTATATCAAAATGACCAGTCCAATTGTTTTCTCTATGACTAGCCTGCTTGATCACCACACAAATAACCATTTTTTTCTACAAAACACCAGGAATTTTTTGAGAACACCACTAGGAAAAACACTAGGAAATTCTGAAAAACGCCAGGAATTCGTGGAGAACATGAGGAATTCTTGGAAACCAACAAAAATTCCTAGAGTTAATTCTAGGAAAATAAATTTTTGTATCCACAAAAACAGATAAATTTGACAATTTCCCTCACCTGTAGACTTTCCGCCGCCTTCAAGAATCCACCAAGTTCACTCTGCGCCACATGCACCTCTCCTCTATACATGAATTCTAAAAGAGCCGCCATATGGCGCCCCCTTGTCGCCTCCAAAATAACGCAACACGAAGAATTTCCATTGGCGCCCCCGGGAGCACCCGCCTCGAACAACTCTGCAAAACGCTTGCTGCAGGCTGCCAGAATCAGACGATGGGCCCTAAAAGTCGTACCTGGGGAAAAAAATATAATAAAAATTATTGCGTTAATATAACTCTAAACTACTAGCTGACCCGGCAAACGTTGTTTTGCTAAGTAAGGTATATTCTAAACAATTTCTAGAGAATCAAAAATATTAATACTTTAAGTGTATAAGGATGTGCTGTTTGAATGCTATATACAATGGAGTATTATAAAAACAATAAACCCCATTAGTTTGTCTATATTTTGTCAACTGGAAGTTTTATACACTTTCTATAGAAAACATGGTATAATGCAATCCAAGTCTTTTTTGCTCTTTCGACTTATTGATTATGTTTCAAGTTTTTCAGATTCTTTTTGGATTCTGGATTTTGTGTTTAATTATAAATAATACTACTGAGCTTATACAAAATTTTCAAATTTCTGCGAGGAGAGATAGAAAATGAATTAAGTATTTCTTCTTTGACCTGCTTTTTGAAAAGTTTCATGTAACATTCGATGAATTAAAGTATATATGTAGATCAGGGCGAGCAAATATAAACTATATTGTGAAAACTATAACTATATCACAACAAATAACACATTTCAAACGAACAATTATCTGACTACGTTCAGTAAAATTGTCAGCTACTTCATCATTGTAGAAATGTGCTTTTTTGATGTCTTTCAAAAATTTGTTATCTAGACCTTTTTACCCTATAGATGGGGTAACTTGGAACGGTTAGGTGGCAAACATGTTTAATGTCTTATTTTAATTTTAAAGGTATTTTACAAAACAATTACATTTTTAACTAATGCTAAAAAACTACCAACGGAAAAAAATACTTTTATTCTGGATTTTCAAAGATGACCGTTTATCTCCCGATAGCAAAGTCAAAAGAATCAAAGTTATAGCTGGTTATACATCTTTTTTCCTGTACTTTCAAATATTGTTGTTAAACAATGCTTAACTTTACTGGTTTTTGACACATTGGTGTTGAATTTTTTTTAACCCCGGACTTTCATATATTACTATCTATTTTTCGATAAATTCTGGCAAATTATAACTGGGAAAATGTTATTTGATAAAGTGTCCATTTGATCGATACCAAATTCAGGTTCTCTAAATTAAAATAACATAAATAAAAAATAATATAACATAGAAAATGTTTTATAAATACCAATGAGTATATAATTATACAAATGAGATCTTTCAGAGCACCGTGTTTGAGAAAAATATGCCAAAAAGTGCATTTTCATATTAACATTTCAAAAAAGTTGATATTGTTGAGTTTGTAGTAACACTTGCGGCCCTATTACATGATTTTACTGAATTGCAAATTTATAGCTGTTTTTGTAAGAAACATGTATGATTTTATATTTTTATAATTTAGTACACATATTAAGAAATAACATACTAAAATTTTGTAACTCTAGTATAACGTTTTATATTTTTAAATATTTTTCAAAATACTCATCAAACCGTGGACTTGCAACTATTGGAAACTAGATATGCAAGAGTGCATTTGTTTACAAAATTGCACATTTATAGCTTTTTTTGTTAGAAACATATGTGATTTTATATTTTTATAATTGAGTACATATATTAGGTAATAACATACTAAAATTTTATAGCTCTAGTATAATATTGTATATTTTTAAAACATTTTTCAAAAGTACTTCTCATATTATATCCAGTTGTCGATTCGCAACTAATAAAAATAGCGTATGCAAGTGTACATTGCAATTTTTTAGTTTTTTCTGTTAGGAACATATTTGATTTTATGTTTTTATAATTCAGTACACATATTAAGAAATAACATACTATAATTTCATAACTGTATTGCAACGCTTTATATTTTTAAAATATATTTTAAGCCGTCAATTTGTTTATGTCAAAAAGTTTACTAACGTTTTTATATATAAACTAGTTGGTTTGGTATTTAGCCTCGAGGCAAGTTACATGAACTTCCCGAAATGTGTAAATAATCGACTTAATAAAAAAAAAAGTGTAAATAATATACTTCATTAATCCTACTTCAAAAAAAAAACGATAATAATTTTAGCAAACTTTGACGAATTTTTAAAATTAAACTACTTGTCGTTAGGCCGTAATATTACAGTAAGTTCTATAAGACCATGATGTATATCGCCAAAAAAAAATCCATGAAAATCGGCTTAAATTTTTTTTTCAACAGTTAATTACAAGAAAACGGCTCGGTAGATTTTCACCTAAAATTAATCAGTACCATTCCCAACTAATATCTTTCGAACAGTTTTTGATATTTTAAAATCGGTTCGGTAGGATGAGCTTAAATGTCGACGAAAATTTAACACTTTTTTTCAACAGTTAATTACAAGAAAACAGCTCGGTAGATTTTCACCTAAAATTAATCAGTACCATTCCCAACTAATATCTTTCGAACAGTTTTTGATTTTTTAAAATAGTTCGGTAGGATGAGCTTAAATGTGGACGAAAAGTTTTTTTCAATTACAAAGAAACGGCTTGGCAGATCGTTGCACAAAACTGACAAACGATAGTCGTCACCGAAATACATCAAATGGCTTTTAAATTTCTAAAATCGGTTCAGGCGTTTTTGAGAAAACGTCGATCAAAAGTCTAATTTTGACAAATGCCAAAAAGACCATACTGATTTTTGCAAACTTTGACGAATTTTTAAAGCTGAACCAGTTGTCGTAGGGCCGTAATATTTTAGTATGATCTAGAAGACTATGGTATCTATCGTCAAAAAAATAATCATAAAAATCGTCGAATTTTTTTTTTTTTAAACTTTATTACAAGAAAACGGCCCGGCCGATCTCTACCAAAAACTAATCAGCACGATTCCCAACTAATATCTTTCGAACGGTTTTTGAATTTTCAAAATCGATTCAGAATTGCGGGCTAAAACGTAGACGAAAAATTTTTCACTTTTCTGCCATTTATGAAGAAACGGCTTGGCCGATTGTCGCACAAAACAATAGTCCTCGTCGAGATACATCGAATGGCTTTTAAATTTTTGAAATCGACCCAGCCGTTTTCGAGAAAACGTCGATTTACGGCAAAAAATCTGTTCACATACACATACACACACACACACACACACACATACTTTTTCCAAATTTGGTCTCATTCGATTCAGAATGGCTTGAAACGTCGAGAAAACATAAAATTAGCGAATCGGGTTTTTTGATGAAAACATAAACTTCTCCTTCGGGAAGTTAATAAAACTACAAACAAAACTGCTGACTACAATTTAATCATAATTAAATAATATTGACGTATTCACATCTTATTAAACGTAATTGAACATCATCTGTCGAAAACATTTAACATTTGACGTATTAGACACCGTCCATTGTTTTATTCAAATTTCGCTTCTACAAAAATGTTCAAATTAAAAATGTAAAGTTTCTAGGCGATTTTGAAATAATCTCACCTTTCCGACCATCTCTGGATCGGCACGAATTTTTCAAGACTAAGACTGGCCAAATCGGTTTAGCCGTTTTCGAGTTTTACTAAGACATATGAAAGAGAGCTCCATTTTTATATATAAGATTATTAATTAGGTGAAAATTTTTGTGTTATTATAATAATTCTTTTATTACGCACAATGGGTGCCACGCGCGCGCCCAGTTGCATGTGTTGGTGCCTTCGACTTTTTTTTTATTTGCGCGGAGCATCATCATTGCATTTCTGGCAAAACAAAATCAAGGCCGCGCCCGACCGAAATTCAAGCGATGCGCGATGTATTTTTACATTTTTTTTTAAATTCTCGGTAAAACACCAACAGTCCAACACCAATACTATCGAAACAACACTGTAACGGGTGACGCAACACTAAAATAAAGCAGGGACGGCCGGGGGAATCGATCGATAGGGCCACATTTGCATGATGATAATTGATAAGTAGGATCCCATTAGCCTAAATTGGGATTCTGAGAAATTTCTTGGAACTCTTGGGAACATCGTAGGACTTTCTGGATCCTCCTAAGCCTCTCAGAAACTTCTTGGGTCTCTCAGTAACTTCTTGGGACTCTCAGGAACTTTTTGGAGCCCTCACAAATTTCTTGGAGTCCTCAGAAACATCTTGGAATTCTCAGGAACATCTTGAGAGTCTCAGAAACTTCTTGAGAGTCTCAGAAACTTCTTGAGAGTCTCAGAAACTTCTTGAATGTATCAGAAACTTCTTGAATGTATCAGAAACTTCTTGAATGTCTCAGAAACTTCTTGAATGTATCAGAAACTTCTTGAATGTATCAGAAACTTCTTGAATGTCTCAGAAACCCCTTGGAACCCTCAAGAATTTCCTGGGACTCTCAGGGACTTCTTGAGGCTCTCAGAAATTTCTTGGGACTCTCAGGAATTTTTGGAGACTCTCAGGAATTTCCTGGGGCTCTCAGAAATTTCCTGGGGCTCTCAGGAATTTCCTGGGGCTCTCAGGAATTTCCTGGGGCTCTCAGGAATTTCCTGGGGCTCTCAGGAATTTCCTGGGGCTCTCAGGAATTTCCTGGGGCTCTCAGAAATTTCCTGGAGCTCTCAGGAATTTCCTGGGGCACTCAGCAATTTCCTGGGGCACTCAGCAATTTCCTGGGACTCTCAGCAATTTCCTGGGACGCTCAGGAACTTCTTGGGACTCTCAGGAACTTCTTGGGCTCTCAGAAACTTCTTGGGACTCTCAGAAACTTCTTGGGACTCTCAGAAACTTCTTGGGACTCTCAGAAACTTCTTGGGACTCTCAGAAACTTCTTGGGACTCTCAGAAACTTCTTGGGACTCTCAGAAACTTCTTGGGACTCTCAAAAACTTCTTGGGACTCTCAAAAACTTCTTGGAACTCTCAGAAACTTCTTGGAACTCTCAGAAACTTCTTGGGACTCTCAGGAACTTTCTTGGGACTCTCAGGAACTTCTTGGGACTCTCAGGAATTTCTTAAGACTCTCAGGAATTTCTCGAGCCTCTCATGAATTTCTTGAGCCTCTCAGCAATTTCCTGGGACTCTCAAAAATTTCTTGAAGCTCTCAGGAATTTCTTTGGACTCTCAAACAAAAATT